CCTCACTTCCGAATTGTTTCATGGATACCTGTGACACTGCAGGACACCCAACCCATATATAAATTGTTTATGCAGTGGAGAAGCAATGATGGACGTATTATAAACCGCTTACTCTGCGAAGGAAACCGAACGTCTTGCATAGTTGGAGGAAGACTTCCCCTACCTCATCGCATGTATGTCAATGTTATTGTGAAGAAACCAGTTCATAACTTTGAAGAAGGGAACATACTTACATACCCCACAGAAAAGGCTTCGCTTCCTGTACCTGAAGAGAGACCAACGAAACCAGGTTAGAAATAATACAAGGGCAATTATTCAATCGAGTACAGAACGTAAGCCGAGATTGTTTAATTTGGTTTTGCATTACTTACCTCTATGATTGGCTCAGAAAACTCGTGCTCCTTTCTCAACAAAACAGATTAAACGCTAAAAACAATCACGATCTGGTAGCACGCGTTTTCCCGCGCTAAAGCAATTAACATGTTTTAACTCTGAGTTCCGATTGGCTGCCCATGAAATTTTCCTCTTATCTTATTGGTCTTTTAAATATTGTGGCTTTGGTGCAACGACACAAACTTCAAAAATGCTCTATTGTTTCAAATATCTTCTTTACAAAGAAAAGAAAAGCTAGGAGACTGAGACCGAAAGGTGGTGCAGTTTGTGCTATTTTAGATCACTTTTGTTTTGTGGGATCTCAGAACGATCCAAGGATGAGAAAGCGTTGGGTTCGGTGTTCAGAAAAATCAAAAGTGGTTCTTTCCTTTTTGTTCTCTACAGTTGTAACTAAATTTTTATCTGAGAAATTCAAGTTATCACAGCCGATTAATTTCTCTCTCTCTCTTTTTTGCATTTCTTTGACAGCTCGTGCCTCAGGTAACAGTACAACAGGTAACAGTACAACTTTCTTGAAAGTTGAAATCGTTAGTTATGACTGGAATTTTGTCAATCTATCATGGAATGCAATTGAGACTGGAAATAGTCACGTGACCTACCGAGTTACAGCCAAAAGAGGTAATAAAGCCATTGATTTGGTGACGCCAAAAAAATCCATGGCATTATCAAGCCTGAAGCAGCTGACAAGATATGAAATCAAAGTGCAGGCTCTGGAAAATAACAGCGTTCCTCTTGCATCAGCTGCGGTCAGTTTTATCACAGGAGGTGAGTTTTCACTCGCTTGAACTAAGTATTGCAGATTACAAACGTTATCTTTTAACAAATTAACTCACATTTGTCTCCAAGCTCAGCTGAAGTTTGGAACGAAAAGCTAGTTTTAAAGGGACACACTCAATCAGTGTACTTTGCGCGTCGTTATTGTAGTTATCCAGGAACTCCATATTGTTTCTCTGACTGGGGTATTACGGTTACTTTCTTGAGCAAGTCTTTCTCCTCTCG